AGAAGAAAAACTTTATAAAACTGGGTTGCTTAAATGTGCGTGGATGTAGTGCGGATGACAAGAAACAGATGATTGCTGATGTTATGAACGAAAAGAAGTTGGATGTCCTGGCCCTAAGCGAAACAAAGCTGAAGGGGGTAGGAGAGTTTCAGTGGGGGGAAATAAATGGGATTAAATCTGGAGTATCTGAGAGAGTTAGAGCAAAGGAAGGGGTAGCAGTAATGTTAAATGATCAGTTATGGAAGGAGAAAAGAGAATATGAATGTGTAAATTCAAGAATTATGTGGATTAAAGTAAAGGTTGGATGCGAGAAGTGGGTCATAATAAGCGTGTATGCACCTGGAGAAGAGAGGAATGCAGAGGAGAGAGAGAGATTTTGGGAGATGTTAAGTGAATGTATAGGAGCCTTTGAACCAAGTGAGAGAGTAATTGTGGTAGGGGACTTGAATGCTAAAGTAGGAGAAACTTTTAGAGAGGGTGTGGTAGGTAAGTTTGGGGTGCCAGGTGTAAATGATAATGGGAGCCCTTTGATTGAACTTTGTATAGAAAGGGGTTTAGTTATAGGTAATACATATTTTAAGAAAAAGAGGATAAATAAGTATACACGATATGATGTAGGGCGAAATGACAGTAGTTTGTTGGATTATGTATTGGTAGATAAAAGACTGTTGAGTAGACTTCAGGATGTACATGTTTATAGAGGGGCCACAGATATATCAGATCACTTTCTAGTTGTAGCTACACTGAGAGTAAAAGGTAGATGGGATACAAGGAGAATAGAAGCATCAGGGAAGAGAGAGGTGAAGGTTTATAAACTAAAAGAGGAGGCAGTTAGGGTAAGATATAAACAGCTATTGGAGGATAGATGGGCTAATGAGAGCATAGGCAATGGGGTCGAAGAGGTATGGGGTAGGTTTAAAAATGTAGTGTTAGAGTGTTCAGCAGAAGTTTGTGGTTACAGGAAAGTGGGTGCAGGAGGGAAGAGGAGCGATTGGTGGAATGATGATGTAAAGAGAGTAGTAAGGGAGAAAAAGTTAGCATATGAGAAGTTTTTACAAAGTAGAAGTGATGCAAGGAGGGAAGAGTATATGGAGAAAAAGAGAGAAGTTAAGAGAGTGGTGAAGCAATGTAAAAAGAGAGCAAATGAGAGAGTGGGTGAGATGTTATCAACAAATTTTGTTGAAAATAAGAAAAAGTTTTGGAGTGAGATTAACAAGTTAAGAAAGCCTAGAGAACAAATGGATTTGTCAGTTAAAAATAGGAGAGTAGAGTTATTAAATGGAGAGTTAGAGGTATTGGGAAGATGGAAGGAATATTTTGAGGAATTGTTAAATGTTGATGAAGATAGGGAAGCTGTGATTTCGTGTATAGGGCAAGGAGGAATAACATCTTGTAGGAGTGAGGAAGAGCCAGTTGTGAGTGTGGGGGAAGTTCGTGAGGCAGTAGGTAAAATGAAAGGGGGTAAGGCAGCCGGGATTGATGGGATAAAGATAGAAATGTTAAAAGCAGGTGGGGATATAGTTTTGGAGTGGTTGGTGCAATTATTTAATAAATGTATGGAAGAGGGTAAGGTACCTAGGGATTGGCAGAGAGCATGCATAGTTCCTTTGTATAAAGGCAAAGGGGATAAAAGAGAGTGCAAAAATTATAGGGGGATAAGTCTGTTGAGTGTACCTGGTAAAGTGTATGGTAGAGTTATAATTGAAAGAATTAAGAGTAAGACGGAGAATAGGATAGCAGATGAACAAGGAGGCTTTAGGAAAGGTAGGGGGTGTGTGGACCAGGTGTTTACAGTGAAACATATAAGTGAACAGTATTTAGATAAGGCTAAAGAGGTCTTTGTGGCATTTATGGATTTGGAAAAGGCGTATGACAGGGTGGATAGGGGGCAATGTGGCAGATGTTGCAAGTGTATGGTGTAGGAGGTAGGTTACTGAAAGCAGTGAAGAGTTTTTACGAGGATAGTGAGGCTCAAGTTAGAGTATGTAGGAAAGAGGGAATTTTTTCCCAGTAAAAGTAGGCCTTAGACAAGGATGTGTGATGTCACCGTGGTTGTTTAATATATTTATAGATGGGGTTGTAAGAGAAGTAAATGCGAGGGTCTTGGCAAGAGGCGTGGAGTTAAAAGATAAAGAATCACACACAAAGTGGGAGTTGTCACAGCTGCTCTTTGCTGATGACACTGTGCTCTTGGGAGATTCTGAAGAGAAGTTGCAGAGATTGGTGGATGAATTTGGTAGGGTGTGCAAAAGAAGAAAATTAAAGGTGAATACAGGAAAGAGTAAGGTTATGAGGATAACAAAAAGATTAGGTGATGAAAGATTGAATATCAGATTGGAGGGAGAGAGTATGGAGGAGGTGAACGTATTCAGATATTTGGGAGTGGACGTGTCAGCGGATGGGTCTATGAAAGATGAGGTGAATCATAGAATTGATGAGGGAAAAAGAGTGAGTGGTGCACTTAGGAGTCTGTGGAGACAAAGAACTTTGTCCTTGGAGGCAAAGAGGGGAATGTATGAGAGTATAGTTTTACCAACGCTCTTATATGGGTGTGAAGCGTGGGTGATGAATGTTGCAGCGAGGAGAAGGCTGGAGGCAGTGGAGATGTCATGTCTGAGGGCAATGTGTGGTGTGAATATAATGCAGAGAATTCGTAGTTTGGAAGTTAGGAGGAGGTGCGGGATTACCAAAACTGTTGTCCAGAGGGCTGAGGAAGGGTTGTTGAGGTGGTTCGGACATGTAGAGAGAATGGAGCGAAACAGAATGACTTCAAGAGTGTATCAGTCTGTAGTGGAAGGAAGGCGGGGTAGGGGTCGGCCTAGGAAGGGTTGGAGGGAGGGGTAAAGGAGGTTTTGTGTGCGAGGGGCTTGGACTTCCAGCAGGCATGCGTGAGCGTGTTTGATAGGAGTGAATGGAGACAAATGGTTTTTAATACTTGACGTGCTGTTGGAGTGTGAGCAAAGTAACATTTATGAAGGGATTCAGGGAAACCGGCAGGCCGGACTTGAGTCCTGGAGATGGGAAGTACAGTGCCTGCACTCTGAAGGAGGGGTGTTAATGTTGCAGTTTAAAAACTGTAGTGTAAAGCACCCTTCTGGCAAGACAGTGATGGAGTGAATGATGGTGAAAGTTTTTCTTTTTCGGGCCACCCTGCCTTGGTGGGAATCGGCCGGTGTGATAATAAAAATAAAAAATCAATAATAACAACATTTTGTGAAAGGGGTAACATGCTTTATGTGGCATGTTAAATTGGGTAACAAGCTGAAAAAGTTTGGGAACCACTGTGCTAGGTGGTCCTTCCGAGGCTGAACTTCCATGCCTCTGTTGATGCATACCCTCTCTCTTCTTCCTGCCTATGGCGTCTTCATGTCCTCTCTCTCTCAGTTGCTCCCATTCCTTTTTTTGTTTTGTCTCAATTAATGTACTCCCGGCGATGTTCTTCTGTGCCCCTTAACTGTGGTTTGTACTGTGTGATCCGAGTTACAGAAGAAAGTATTACAATGGATCAAGGAACACTTAATGGGAAGGGGGGAAGGAAGCAGTGAGTTACTATCAGGGAGGAGTTATCGGAAAGGGCGAGTGTGACGAAAGGGGTACCATAAGGCTCAGTACTTAATCCAGTACTGTTTCTTATGTGTTTGAACGATATAACAGAGGAAATAGTCAGAGGCGCATCTCTGTTTCCAGATGATGTGAAACTAATGAGGAGGATAAAAGTAGGAGTAGACCAGGGAAGACTATAAATGGATCGGGACAAACTGTAGGATTGGTCGGACAAGTGGCTACTGGAATTCAATCCCAGCAAATGTAAAATTATGAAAATCGGAGAAAGGCAAAGATGGCCATGAGCATAGTTCCGAGCATTTCGTCAGAGACACATCACGAAACACCGCTGTAGCAAATGCGAGAGTAGCAGATTTAAGGGCAACTTACAGGAACCTCAACAAGGAGGCATTCACAACATTGTACACGGCATATACCAGGTCCATCTTGGAGTATGCAGGGCCAGTATGCAACCCACATTTGGTTAAGCATGTAATGAAGCTGGAAAATGTGAAAAGCTTTACAACGAAGCTAGCCTCAGAACTGAGGGGTATGAACTATGAGGAGAGGGTAGAGGAGCCGAAGCTGACGACACTAGAGGACAAAGGCCCAGAGGCGACATGATTACGATGTACAAAACGCTCAGAGGAATTGACAGGGTGAATAGAGAGTATGTTTGAAAGGCTGGACTTAAGTACACAATGTCGCAGCTGGAAGTTCAAAGTACAGATGAATCACAAGGATGTTAGGAAATTCTTTTTTTAACCTTAGAGTGGTCACGAAGTGAAAAGACCTAGGCAGCAAAGTGGTAGAGGCAGACTCCATGCATAGGTTTAAGAATAGGTATGACAGAGCTCAAGTAACCGGGAGAAAGTAAAACCAGTAGATTGGAGAAGAGAAACGGGACCAAGAGGCGAGTATCGACCCTTGTAACCACCATTAAGCGAGTACACAGACGAACGAAAAATGCCATTATTAACATCTATAGTAACTAAAACACACAGATATTCTCTCTCTCTCTCTCTCTCTCTCTCCCTCTCTCTATCTCTCTCTCTCTCTCTCTCTCTCTCTCTCTCTCTCTCTCTCTCTCTCTCTCTCTCTCTCTCTCTCTCTCTCTCTCTCTCTCTCTCTCTCTCTCTCTCTCTCTCTCTCTCTCCCTCTCTCGCTTTGAGAGTTTAGAACAAATATCTGAAATAAATACTAAACTATAAATTAAAAAGAAAGTTCAAGAAATAAATGATGGTGAGGAGAGTTGAGGAGGAGGAAAATAAAGCTGCAGGAGACCGAGCTCATCTTTAGTACGGTGCCTTCAAGCTGGTGAAGGGTTCTCGATCCAAGAAACTGAAGCTACACTGCCTTCCCTCGGATCATACCTGCTTCCCTCTCACTACTCCTCAGGTACTGTATGACCCTTACGGGCTTAGCGCCTCCCCATACAAACAATAATAGTGACGCACCACACGTCCCACACCAGGTCCTGGTCGGCGTTCATGTCCTTGTTCCTCTGTCCGAAGAGAGGCAGGAAGTTGATGCCTCGGTAAGGCGCCAGGGTGGCGCTCAGGTCCTCCACGCTCCTTAGAGGCAGGTCAGCGCCACTCAGCTTCACCCCGAAGTCCCATACGCCCATCCTCAGCAGCTCCTCGAAGGACTCCAGTTCAGCACGAATGATACCGTAGGATCCCCAGGAAGCCACGTAGGATCTCGAGGCTGGTAGCATTCTGGAGGAAAATAATAAATATAACTATAGTTCCATAAAGTACAACACAGTACACAACTGACGCCACATATAAAACCTCGTCGCTGTGCCAAGCATATCAGGCAGACTTTAGAAATATGAATGTTATAGTGATATTAGACTTGTAGCAGAACCTCTAGGCTGATAGCACTTTGGTAGTCTGAGCATTGTAGTAAGACTAGCAAAGGCCAAAGAGTTATGCTACTAGCACTCTTAGAAGTCAGGTAGCGAGCATCAAGCAGGGGACAGTGCAGCGAGATAACAATGATGATATTAAAGAGTTCTTGATGATTTAATGTCATAGTTGCCTTTATCATTATTATTATTATTGTTAAATTTATTATTATTGTTATATTTATTAGTATAATTATACAAGCCCTGCATGACCCCATAAGAAGATAATCAAGTTTAACCCAAGGCAGAGGAGATTTTCTATTCCTTGGATCAAGAGCTTCTGACCTAGTTCCCGTCACTTCGAAGTTCCGTAGCGGCGCATCAGCAGCAACAGAAGGAGAACAAATCTACCTCTCTACTCACTCACCTGACGTTGGTTGCAGCGGGCAACGACTTGCCAATGAGAGCCATGAGTGCCTTGCGGATGTGGGTGTTGCGCCTGTCCACGTGGATCACATAGTAGTGGTGTGGACGGTAGATGAGATCCAGAAGCTGCATCTGATACCATACCAGGAAACGGTAAACAGTTCATTACTACTATATGATTTACTTATCTATCAAAACTCTGATGGGCCCGGTCCCTGACCCTACTGCGTGCCTCTGTAATCATTGACTGCCGTCCACAGTATGGGAATAGAGTGCATAATGAAGCTACGAAGCTGTCACCAGGAATAATACATCGCTCATTACCTCCACTCCAAGTTATCAGCGACTAATTAGACTTCAGTTACAAGACAGAACCCACGCAAAACGTGGATGATATAGATTATTATTATAATCAAAAAGAAGCGCTAAACCACAAGGGCTATACAGCAGGATGATATAGATAATCTCCAAGCAGAGAAAGCCCCTGTTAAAACTTTCTCTCGCAGAGTTTTTATTGAGCGAAATGTTGCCTTAATAAAAGAATATCTCTATCCTATGAATCTTCACTCTTCATTTACATCAAATAATGGTGTCCGCGTGCTATGTTTACGCAGTTACCTGGAGTTTACCTGGAGAGAGTTCCGGGGGTCAACGCCCCCGCGGCCCGTCTGTGACAGGCCTCATGGTGGATCAGGGCCTGATCAACCAGGCTGTTACTCCTGGCTGCACGCAATCCAACATACGAGCCACAGCCCGGCTGGTCAGGTACCGACTCTAGGTGCGTGTTCAGTGCCTGCTTGAAGACAGCCAGGGGTCTATTGGTAATCCCCCTTATGTATGCTGGGAGGCAGTTGAACAGTCTTGGGCCCCTGACACTTATTGTGTTGTCTCTTAACGTGCTAGTGACACCCCTACTTTTCACTGGGGGGGATGTTGCATCGTCTGCCAAGTCTTTTGTTTTCCCAGGTTGGTCTTTAACCTTCCGCAAGTCAAAGTCGTCTTGCGTCAAGCCTGCAAACTTGATGTATCGAATTCATATATGCTCATGTTTGAATTTAAGCAGTTTAAGATATCGATAGTGTTAGGATTATCGGCCTAAGGATGCTGAGGTCAGGGATGCTGAGGTCAGGGATGCTGAGGTCAGGGTCTCAGTAGTAGTACCAGTTCCTAGTAACCAGTTACCGGTAACCAGTGTACCAGTAGATGACTCACTACCAACCGTCTGCGTGAATCACTGACTGATTATTCATATTGCTGTTGACCATAGCAGGATTTCAAACACCCCTCACCCGTAGGCACTTGAGAGTCAGTCGAAGATAGGGAGCAGAGAGAGGCAGGTCAGCTGTTGGCGCTTCCCATACTTCCCGTTATATATTATACGTACTACCAGCCTACGTGAGTATTTTTACCAATCCACGTTATCGAAAACCCACTTGACAAATGGTGGCACCGGTGTGGGCGTGGATTTAAGGGTATTTCAGACGTTAGAAGACTGTTTGTGGGGTCCCGGCAGGTCAGAGGTGAACCATCTCAGCCACCTCCAGCTAGCAGCTTACCCTCACCACACCACCCTGTGTACTCCAGCCTGCAAGCCTGTTGCAGCCGTTTTTCAAGTTTCCTGGCTTAGTTTGTGTGCTAATTGCTTCAATCTCCGAGGGGTTGACCCGGATTTTGCAATTAAGCCAGTCAACAAGCCAGACTGTGGAAGTGAATGCTAGTCAGCCTGCCTCAGCCTACCATCCAGCCTGTCTCCTGTATCCACCTGCTCCTTCATGCTGTGTGCATCATTACACGTCTTCCAGTCAGCCATTCTCGTGGGTTAAGCCAGTCAGCCAACCCAGCTTCTAACCCAGCTGAGAGAGAGAAGTAAGCCACACAAGTTTCTCTGAAGTATTGTCTCATATATCGCTTTGTGCTCCCAGTTGGATGCCAGTTGGATGCTAAGAGTGGTCTTCACCATCCCTGTGGCATAGAGTGGCTTACAAGCCACCTTCGTGAGTAGTGAGTGGCAGTGCGCGCCAGTGAGCAAGTGAGTGAGTCACGCTCCCTTCACCCACTCACCCACTCGTCACTCATCTACCTGTGGGGTTTTTCTTTTTCCACCCTTGTACCAGGTCCTAGTACTTTGGCTCACATAATTGGTCAAGAGATTGTAGCTGAGCGCCAACGATAAAGCCAGTTATGTGAGTTCACCTAGAAAGTGCATTTCTTCCGCACAGGACGTCTTCTCCTCATCACTCGTCATCCCGTCTACTACTCCAGACTTCAGTGATAATTTTCTGTTTAGAGACATTTTTCTTGCATTTAAAGACATTTGCGTGTGTGAGACATCTATAGTGAATTTCTTGTGTACTCTAAGCCTTGTGTTTTCAGTGTAGACTCAGTGTTTCTTTGACTCATTATTTTTGCAATATTTTTCAGTATAATCACTCATCTCATATTTTTTTATCTGTGTTTTTTTTTGTGCCACTCTCTGTCTGTAGTAAGTATTATTGTGTATTGTACCAGTTAGTCACTCCGTGTGAAGTAATTCATTCATTTTTTTTTTGTATTCTTTCAGCATTGTATTCTCCAGTATTTGTCGTATACCAAATTATCCATTTATTTCTACATGTGTCTTTTTTTTCGTATGCCAGCAGTGTCTCATTCCCAGATCTTTTCGCAGACTTGTGTACCATTATTTTTGCCAGCAATTTTTGTCGTATCAGTCACAGCAAGATTTTGTTGTAAGAATATACTAAAAAAATGAATAAGTGAATATGTTGTGTGTGCCACCGCCACTTTAAGTGTTTGTGACCCGCCACTATGTTAAGATGTTGTGTGCCCCACCACTTTAAGTGTTGGTGTGCCCCGCCACTTGAAAGTGTTGTGTGACACGCCCACTTGTAAGTGTTACACTTCCAGTTTTTGTTTTCTTGGTTTTATTTTTATCATATTTTTCTTATTTCTTTGAACAAATTCACACTCTTAGTGTAATTTCAATTTCTTTTTTAAAACGTAAAGTGTTTCTTATACTCTAGTTAAATTGTTTTTGTCCTAATTTACAATTAAGAGTTAAAAGTGTTCAATCAGTTTTTCCTTCAATATTTTAATTTTATTATTTAACCTACATTTTTCCCAGTGAACATTTATTACTGCAAGGTTTATTTTCTGTGTCTTATTTTGTTGCACTTGTTGTGCAGTGAATTATTTTGTTGCACTTGGTTTGCAGTGAATTATTTTGTTTCACTTGTTTTGCAGAGAATATATTTTGTTGCACTTGTTGTGCAGTGAATTATTTTGTTGCCACTTGTTGTGCAGAGAATTATTTTGTTGCACTTGTTGTGCAGTGAATTTATTTTGTTGCACATTTCTGCAGTGAATTATTTGTTGCACTTGTTCTGGCAGTGAATTATTTTGTTGCACTTGTTCTGCAGTGAATTATTTTGTTGGCACATTGTTCGGCAGTGAATTATTTTCTTTTATTGATATTTTTATGCATTATTATTCTCAGTTCATTATTGAGTCTTGTTTACTCATCTTATTATATTTTTCTCATGTAGTCCTTTGCATTATATTTAAATTTTGTTTATGCATTCTTACAAAATATTTAAATGTCCCAGTTAATCCACGTTGTATACAATTTATGATTTTTATTTTATACTTTAATATTGATTTACAATTTTATTAGTTAATTACTTTATTATCAAGAGTACAAGACAGCTTCATTTTGCATTTAATTCGGGTTCAGTCTCCAGTAATATTTTTACTGTAAATTTCAATGTACTTTTTTTATATCTTGTTCCACAGTTCTTTACATCGAGTTGCTCTTCCTCTTGCAAGTGGACTTAGCATTTTTTTTATACTTCTGCAGAATTATTGCATCTCTTTTAGTTTAATTTTAGCATATTGTATCATTTTATTATTCGTGTTATAATTTGCCTTATTTGTTCTTGTGGCAACTTTGGCCATTATGTCTCACATACCGTCAAGTGATACTTTAGTGAAGTCGACACTCAGACCTCTCAGGCTACTGCTGCTCCTGTCCATCAGTCCTCACAGTTCCTTATGGACTGACCAGATCCTGGCCCAGACACTGAGACACTATAGTTTTACCTTCCCCACCCCGTTGATTCACCTTGATGCTTTTCCTTTATTCAATGCCATGTAACATAGACTGAAGCATGGTTTACTGCCATTCGTTCTCGTGTTATTGCTCTATTGACTGTCCACCTTCAGAGGAAAGTCTTATCAGACTTGCGAAAGAAGCTCTTCATCGGTCCCCTGCGCAGTTCACGTTATTGATCTCCTTGAAATGCAAGACTCAGGAATCTACTAGATGTCACAATATGAGAACTGATCGTTTCTTCCTCGTACCAGTAAAAAACCTGATCCATATGTCGTTCTTAGGGAACTCGAGAATGCTACACCATGACTAATGAATCGTGAAGTTGCATTGCTGTTAGATTAGACCAAACTTTTATCATCATTTAATATGCTGTCCATTCCTCTCTTTTGTCCCTGACGAGGATAAACCATCCACAGCTTCGTTTGCTAAAATAGCAGCTTTTGGACGCATCATTGAAACTAATGCCGCCAGCTTCCGTGTGGTGCTTATGAGGCTAATCCTCCAACTGTGAACGATTGAACCAACAACAGGCCTAAATCATTACGTTTCCTTGTGCCTCAGAGTAACTTTCCCATGTATCAAAAGTATATTTCACACCTATTGCCTCAGTCTGCCCACCTCTTGTTTGCGCCACAGCGAAAAATCGATGGTCGTCCAACCATCTCAGCGATCACCAAGGACCAGTGTACAGAGTCATTATAAACCGCGTAGTATTCATAGTTTCATCAGTAACCATAGTCGCGGACTGTTACAACTGTGGTTTCCGTGGGGGCCATATTGCAAATAATTGTCTGAAGTTTACCCTAAGAGGCGTCGTACTGAGGATGAGTACCAGTCAGATCTATCCCTACTGAACATTATCATGAAATAACATGGACAAGACACATCTGAGTGCAATGCACTCTACAACTTCATGTTACTCTAGGGTCTTTCCCGGTGGCCGTTCCAACGCAGAACCCGTAGAGGAAACAGAGCATCGTTGTTCTCAAACCAACCAGAACCAGGCTGCATTCTTCCATTCGGG